GTACAATGGACCTTGAAACCAAGCCCTGTTCTTTCCCTGATTCAGCTTGAACTATCCAACAAGGATCTTGACGGCTCTGGGGGCCTCCCTCCACAACCTCCACAGCACACTCTGTGCTGCCAGTAACGTTAAAACAGTGACCCCACTTTTTCATGCCCTGGCTCCTCACATCCTGCAGGGCAGAGATGGGTGTCCTTTCCAGCTCTCTCCGTAGGAGCTCTTCAGCCTCAGTACTGGCCACTCCTGGAGGAAAGGGGTCTTGGCTCCAGGGTGGGCCCTCCTGGGCACTTACCATGTGTCAGGCCCTGCGCCTGGCTCAAGCCTGGAGTCCTGGGGGGCAGGGATGGTCTACCCCATTGTGCAGATGGGGAAACAGGCTCCTCTCAAAGGGGTCTGTGGGCCCTTTGCAAACTGAAGGGCGCTGTGCGCGGCTTCCGTGCAGGGGAGAGGCAGGCGCGGTGTGCGGGGCTGGCGTGCCCCCTAGCGGCGGCCCTGCGCGCCTGTCTTGCCCCGCGGCCGGAGCCGCCCAGGTCAGGGGAAGTCCCTTCTCGGAGCCGCCCGCGGTCCTGCCTGCTGCGGCCTCACCTCCTCGAGCTGAGAAGTGTCTCCCAGTCTGTCTCTTCTCGTAGCTTCCCGGAGACCCCACGGCGGCTGCGCGCCCCGCCCCGATTGCCATGGAGACCGCCTGTACACAGTTCCCCCTTCCCCTCCACCCTGTCCTAAGCCGGGGGCCGCGGGCCGGACCAGCGCCCGTCCGGGAGGAAGCCCGCCGGGCCGGGCGGCCGCGCGCCCATGAACAGCGGGGCCGCGGGGACGCTGGCCGTGGGGAGAGTGCAAGTCTTCAGCCGGCACCGCGGGGAGGTGAGGCCCAGGCGGGCTCCGCCCGGACTCGAGGCTCCCGGCTCTGGGTCTAGAGTGGTTCCTGGTTTTGCGTGGTAGGAGCTCCAGAGTGTTCTCTGGGCTCCAGCTCCAGAATGGGCCCTGGGTTCTAAGCTCTGGTTCCAGAGAACGCTCCAACTCCTTCTGGCTGACTCGTGTTCTTTGGACTCGGGCTTTAAAGTGCAGTCAGGGCTTGGAGTAGATTTTGAACTCCGGATTCTGGGCTCCCGCTCTGGAAGGGCTCTTGGCTCTGGGGTGCCAGTCCCTGGTTCTGGAGAAGGCTCCAGCCTCTGACTTTGGGGAGGGCCCCAGGCAAGAGGCCCCAGTTTTGAAGGGCTCCAGAGGGCTCCGTGCTCTTGGCTCTGAGTGCCGAGTGGCTCCTAGTTCTGGGCTCTGGCTGTGGAGCGAGGCCTGAGGTCCAAGCTCCAACCCTAGGCTCCGGGGGTCAGTGTTCAGGGCTGGCCCAAGAGTCTGGGGTCAGGGCTGAGCAGACAGGTGTTTCTGGCCTCAGGATGGGATGACTTTTGTGCTCTCCTCCCAGGTCAACTCCTCCGCCTTCTCTCCCAACGGCCAGACGCTGCTCACCGCCTCGGAGGATGGCTGCGTGTATGGCTGGGAGACCCAGAGCGGGCGGCTGCTGTGGAGGCTGGGTGGCCACGCAGGTGGGGCTCCTCAGCCTGGATGGGGAGACCGAGGCCCATGGGCCTGTCCTGGCATTCTGCAGGGCCTACCATAACAACCTCTGATGTTTGAGCTGGGCATCCATGCCAGGCAGCCTGCGCAGGGCTGGGGCAGGAGGGCAAGGAGATGGACCTGGTCCCTGGGGCCAGGTCCTCTGACTCTGGTAGACCTGGACTCAGATCCTACCCCTTTTTAAAAAATTGCTTAAAAATATACATAATATTTACCATCTTAACCATTTAAGTGTATGGTTCAGTAGTAAGTACCTTCACCTTGTTGTGCACCTAGTCTCCAGAACTCTTTTCATCTTGCAAAACAGAAACTCTATACCCATTAAGCTCCCCATTCCTCTCTTCCCCCAGCCCCTGGCAACCGCCATTCTGCTTTGTCTCGAATTTGACCACTCTAAGTACCTGCAGAAGTGGAATCATACAAAACTTCTTTTTGTGACTGGTTCATCTCACTTGGCACAATGTCCTTAAGGTTCATCTTTGTTTTACCCACTTTGACTGTGATCGTAGCCAAGTCACGTCACCTCGCTGAGCCTCTATTTCCTCCTCTGTAGAATGGGGATGGATCATCGCTGCTACCCTATAGGATGAGATAATGCAAGCAAAGTGCCTAGCACCCAATAAGGACTCTGTAGTTGTAACTATTATAATTAAGGAGACAAGAAAAAACACCTGATAATTACAGAGCAGATTGATTAATGCTGTAATAGGGCAAGTCCAGGGGCTGGGGGGCTCAGAGGAGGCAATGGACTGAGGTGGGCTGTCAGAGAGTTTCTGGGAGGTGCCCACATTTGATTTGGGTATTGATTTTCCAAATGGGCAAATTGAGGTTGGGTGTTCAGGCCAACACAAGAAGCCCAGGAATTTCCACGTGGCTGGAGGGTAAGGGTTAGGATTGAGGAGAGGGGAGGTAGGCGATGAGGCTGGAGAAATTAGCAGGGTAGGAGCTCAAGGGCCAGAGGTGGAGGGCAGTGCCATTCCTGACCACACTGCCCGCCCCAGGCCCCGTGAAGTTCTGCCGCTTCTCTCCTGATGGCCGCCTCTTTGCCAGCACCTCCTGTGACTGCACCATCCGCCTGTGGGACGTGGCAGAAGCCAAGTGTCTGCAGGTCCTGAAGGGTGAGTGGGCTGGGTGGGACTGAGAGCCAAGCAGCCAGGCCTGGGTGCCCTTTCCGACCTTGCTGTGTCCTTGTGCCACCTCGTCTCCTCTCCGATCTGGAGCCTGCAGGTCACCAGCGGAGTGTGGAGACGGTCAGCTTCAGCCCTGACTCAAAGCAGCTGGCATCAGGTGGCTGGGACAAGCGGGTGATGCTCTGGGAGGTGCAGGTATGTGGGGGGTGGGGGGCAGAGCTAGGCCTGGGATCACACACCCTCAACACTGGCCTCAGGTCGTTCCATCTTCCCCACCATGCCCACACCTGGCATCCAAGACCCCCCCTGCATCTGGCTTGCAGCTACCTCCCCGGGCCTCCCACACACACTAGCCCTCGACCCTCAAGCCCTCTGCCCATGAGGCTCCCTCTGCCTGAACTGCCCTCCTCTCCTGTCAAGGCCCAGGAAGCCTCCCCAGACCCTGTGTTGTCACATTACCCAGGCAGCCCCTCAAGGGGGGGCCTGGGTGTGACTCATCCGAGGCCCAGAACCTGGCACTGCAAGGCTTCGGGATGCCCTCTGCTGCCTCCCACGGCTCAGGGCTCTCTCCTCCAGTCTGGCCAGGTGCTGCGCTGCTTAGCAGGGCACCGAGACTCCGTCCAGAGCAGTGACTTCGCACCCAGCTCAGACTGCCTGGTAAGCCACACTTCTGCCCTGGCCCCCCTCAGTTGATGAGGGAACCCGGGGCCCATACCCCCTTTCCCACTGGAGCTGAACAATGGTTAGAATTGGGTGACTCTGCTCTTCTGAGCCTGTCCCCTCACCTGTGTGATGGGGACTCAGTGGGGCTCGGTGAGACGGTACCTGCTGTCTATGAGCCCAGCCAGCCTAGGCAGCAGGGTGGGCATGGGCTGGCTCGTCCATGCTCATGGCAGCTGTCTGTAGGCCACTGGCTCCTGGGACTCCACCATACGCATCTGGGACCTACGGGCGGGGCCCCCAGCGATCTTCCACCAGGAGCTGGAGGGCCACAGTGGCAACATCAGCTGCCTGTGCTTCTCGGTGTCAGGCCTCCTGGTGAGCTGGCTGCCCTGGGTCCCAGGCTGGCACCTTGCTGGTTGCAAGACCCTTGGGGGGTCACAGGCCATTTTGGGGCCCAGTGAGCATGCAGGCCCCAAACCATGGGCTTAGAGCTGTCTGCTGTCCAGGCATCTGGCTCCTGGGACAAGACCATCCACATCTGGAAGCCCTCGACCAGAAGCCTGCTCGTCCAGCTCAAGGGCCACGTCACCTGGGTGAAGAGCTTAGCTTTCTCCCCGGATGCACTGCAGCTGGCCAGTGCTGACTACTCCCGCATGGTAACCCCACCCCACCAGGCCGCTCCTCCTGGCAAACTTCTACCCCCATCCTCATGCAGCACTCTGTCCAAAAACGTCCACATCCCGATTTGCCCTTAAATAAGAGGGTGCCAAGGGCAGGACCCAGACACCAGCCTCTTCTGTACCTAGGGTCTGGACTGGCCCAGATGTTAGTGGCAGTGACATGTCTATGACTCAGCTAGCTTCAGGGGAAAGGAAATGGGTACTGCACTGGATTCTGGCATCAAATATTATGCTGGGCATTTTAAATACAACTCAGACAACAAAACCCAGACTAAGAGGTTAAGGTGTTGGCCAGGATGCCCCCCAAGGTGATTTCAGAGGCCAGACTTGGCTGGTGAGGCCTCCCTACCCTCCTGCTTTGTTTTTATTTCCAGGTCAAAGTCTGGGACTGCAACACGGGCAAGTGCATTGAGACCCTGAAGGTAAGGCCCAGGGCTGTAGCACCCAAGGGCACAGTGGAGGGCCTGCCAGGGGAGGCTGGGGCAGGCGGGACTTGCATCCCAGAGCCCAAAGATGTGCTTCTGGCAGGGCGTCTTGGATGCGGCCCACTCCTGTGCCTTCACTGCAGATGGGAAACTCTTAGTGTCTGGAGCTGTGGATCAGGCAAGACGCCAAGTCCACTGCACAGTCAAATCACGCAGACTCTCTCGAAGATAACGTTACCTCGAATGGCTCTCAGACCTCATGCCCCTGCCTCCCCCTGCCCAGGGCGCATGGGACCTGCAGGAATGAACCTGTGAAAGGACAGTCAGGGCAGTTCTACACCACAGGCCCAAAGTAACATAACAGAGCACCTGACAGGTCCCTGTGGCCACGACCATCATGGCGCCACCAGGGCAGCCAACAGCTGCAGGCAGGCCTGCTGAAATCCACCAGACACCCAGTAACCATAACCGGGGCCACGCCAGCCCAACTCGCCAGCACTGTTAGTTGAAACACCCACAAACAAAAGCACCATCAGCCCGCCTGTCTGTTTTATTGAGGTGGGGGTGCTCAGGCCTTGACCGCATACTTCCGCAGCGGGTACAGGCGCTCCTTCCGCTGCTGCTTCTTGGTCTTCAGGTTCTCTTCGTGCTTGTTGAGCCGGCGGCGCATGGCACGTGTTTTCTTGGGCCGCAGATCCAGGGGCTTGTACTTCTTGCCCTGGGTGATGGAGAGCAGGAGGAAACCAAGGACTAGGGTTTAGGAGCTACTGCAGTAGCCAAGGAAGCCCCGGAGGCCGGAACCAAGGCGCTGGGCAGTGACTGAGGGAAGTGCGTGGCTGGGGTGTGAAGAGCTGAGACAACCAGCCTAGCAGGGGACTGTCAACACGAGACTACAGACATACGGAGATGTCAGCAGGCCATACACCTTGCTTACTAGCTCATTTAATTCCCCCGAGTTCAAGGTGGGGTGACTGTCCCCATTTTCATTAAGTCTGTTGACTCAGGAGGCTGAGAAGTGAGTGAATGTGCCCAAATCTCAGCGAAGCTGTGGCAGGACTGGGCTTTGCACCTCCCTACTCGGTGCTTTCTGCCTGCCTGATTCCCAGCGATGGAGTCCGTGTCACACCCCAACCCAGTAAGGGGCATGTGGCACCAAGTGCTGGGGGCGGTCACTATTATCTCGGCTTAAGTTGTGCAAGAGAGTGTGTGCGGGGCTTCAGCTGGTGTTCCATTAACTCAGAGGGTCTGCAGGTACGGTGACGTTCCCTGCAATAATGTTCCCACTTAACCCCCGAGTCTCAGAGGCGAGATCTGGAGTGGCCAACGTCATCCTGCTATGAGGGGCACAGCCCCCTCTCCTGCCTTGGTGGCCCTCCCACCACTCCATCGTCACACCGTCTCTGGCTCCCACTCCCGCCCCACCTGCTCCCCACTGAGCGGCTCTGGACTAAGGCAGCTCGCGTGGTCCCTCCTTCCTTTGCTCTGCAAAGGTCCCCTGGGCCTTCTTCAGCTTGAGGCCCTGTGCTGGCTCCACATCGAGTGAGAGCTGGTCCGGCTCAAGGAGCTCCCAGCCCACTGGGAAAGACTGAACAATTAACAGCGGCCCATTGGTGGGGAGGAAAGAGAGTAAGCTTTCACCCAATGACTGGCAGTAGCCTTGAAAGCAAGCAACACGGACGCCAGTTGAAAGGGGACAAAACAGAGCGTGCACACAAGTCCTGAAGAATGGCAGCTCAAGCTCCTTCTGGCTGCCAGCAGCCTGGAGGGGTAGGCACAGGGCAGGCCTGAGGGGATTGGGGTTCAGGTACGAACCACCTCAGGGCAGAGAACTGCAAAGAAAAGCTAAAGCAGGAGACGAGGGCAACCTCTGGAGGGAACTGGAAGCCTGAGAGTCTCTGTCACCCACATTCCTCATGGCATCAGCTGGCACAGGTCAGGGCCTCGTCTGTTTCAAATCCACTAAGCCCCTTAGAGCTCTGCTGTCCTACGGAGTAGCCACTAGCCACACGTGCTATTCACATTAAAAATTCAGCCCTTCAGTCAGCTCAGCCATACTCAGTGCTCAATAGGCACACATGGCCAGAGGTTACTGCACTGGACAGCTCAGGTATAGGACATTTCTTTCACTGCACAGTCTAGTGGACAGTGCTGACATACAGGCAGAGACCTCACTGCCACCTCCCTGACCAAGCGGTGCCTGGCTGGGGGGCACCTGGCATGAATGCACTACCTGGGTGGTCACAAAGACAATTCTTCCAGGCCACCACCTCTGCATGGTCCCCTCAGAGCCAATCCTCAGAAACACATTGGCACACACAAATGTGCACACATCCCACGGTGGCAGCAACCCCCGCCCCCCCACTGGTGTCCCCTGGGCACCTAACCCAGGCACACCATGATGGCTTTTTTAATGTGTCAAACCAAGTTATTCAAACACTAATTTGGGTGTTGATGTGAAGCCATTTTGCAGATGTAATTACAGCCCCTAATCAGTTGCCTCTAATTAAGGGAGATTATCCTGGGTCACCTGTGTGGGCCTGATCCAAGCAGCCGAAAGGCCTTAAAGGCAGGGCCGAGGCTTTCCTGAAGAAACCCCACCTGCGGACAGCAGCTTCAACCTGTGCCCAGGTCCAGCCTGTTCGTGATCATCTCTTCCTGACAGCCAGGCCTACTGATTCTGGATTTATTACCAGCCCCCACAACCACATAAGCCAATTCTTTGTAATGAATCAAACATATGTGTACACATGCACCAAGTCTACTGGTTCTGCTTCTCTGCTTGAACACTGGTAACACTAATCTTAGGGACAAGACCAGAAAATGGTTGGTAAAAATCCTAGGCTGAGGGGTGAGACACCTGCGGAATCTCCCAGCAGCACTGAATCCACTCCTCCCCAAGACATGGTTTGGAACCCAGGTCAAATCACTCCACTAACTGTAGGTGACCCTGGGCAACTCAACCTCTCTAATCCTTGAGGCCCTTATCTGAAAAACGAGAATGCCAGGGGCTTGGCAGTGACTGACACAGTGCTGGTAAGACAATCAAAACATTGAAACAGTTAATCGTCGTAGACTGCCCAAGCTCACTCTGCTGGTGAGGCTGGATTCCAAACCCAAGTCTCCAGCCAGACTCCCACCACACTGCTATTTCTTGACAACTGCAGCCCTGAGGAGATGCAGTCTGCGCTGCCATACGCTAGTACAAGAGGCTAGTCCGAGGGCAAACCCATCTACAAGTTAGGAAGGTTCTGGAAAACCCAACTATGTCTGGGCAAAGCCCAGTCCCACATTCCAGCAGCAGGAGAAGCTCTTCATACTGCCCCTCTGGCCAAGGGAGGGCTGGAACTTTGCTCCCTGCAGCCAAGCGCCCCTACTCCCCCCGTGACTCACCTTGTAGAATTTCCTGAGGTTTTCCTTTTGGGTCTGGTTAATGACGGTGAGAACACGGGCGATGGATTTGCGAACAACTCGGCTAGACAACAGAGACATCAGTGAAGATGAGGAAGACACACAACCCTCCCCAAGGTATCTTATTCAGGGCCTGACCCAGATATCATAGGGCAGGGCATTCCCCACCAGCCCATCCAGTCATCCAGCCCAGGAGGCAGGTGGTCTGGGGGTGAGACCTGAGAGACTACGAGATGAGCACCCCAGGAGTGGGGACAGGGAAATGCTGGAGTATCCAGTGCTTTTGAGGAACTCTGAAGTGTTTATTGAGGAGACTTAATGCGAGGTGGAGGGCAGATCAGGAAAGATCTTCCATCCCAGGCCATATATCCGGAGGACTATGAAGACCTAACCAATGACCATCAGAACGAGCTGGCTGAGGGAATCATACCACAAGCTGGGCCACCACGTTAAGCTCAAGGAATCACAGGAAGGCCACTGGGGAGGCAGAAACGAGACATTTGGGAGGGAGGGGGCTGAAGACAGGAGCAGGCCGGGGATAAATGAATTCATAGTCACGTTAATTATGAGGCATGCTGAGGGATGAGGGACAGTCACTCAGGAAATGGCTTGTAAACACGGTCTTGAGGATTCAGCTGCCTTATGTGTTCCCCAACTCATCCAGCCCCCTCCCACCACCATAAGAAGGTTGTCGGGGGCCCATCTTACACTAGAGGAAAAAACACTTTGGTAGGTGGGCCAACTCCCCATCAGGTAGCATGGGGGCAGAAGCAGAACTGGTACCCAGGTCGACTGACTGCGAACCCATGATCCTTGCACCAGTCCCGATTCTCGATCCGTGTAGATCAGGAAGCTGCACTACAACTCAAGTACAGGGAGGAAGGCGCTCACCTCCCGAGCGAGGGTGAGGAAAACACTGAGCGCTGCAGGAGGAGGGAGAGGAGGTCCCGCTGGGCTTCCGAGGGCAGCATTACGCCGGCTCTCCAGGGCCTGACATTCCGACCCACGGATCCCCTGAACGGCACTTAAACGGACTCCTCCTGAAGCCACCTTGGACAATCCACAAGTGCTCCCGATGCACCCGTGTCCCCCACGTCCAGAGGGCCGTGGGCCGGCCGCGGTCACTTACATCTTGGAGAGCTTGGACGCCGCGCCGCCAGTCACTTTGGCGACGCGCAGCTGGGACAGCTCCACCTTCAGGTCGTCCAGCTGCTTCAGCAGCTCTTCCTTCTTCTTGCCGCGAAGGTCTCGAGCCTTAATCTTGGCCTGCGCACAGGAAAGAGACCGGGTCAGACACCTCGCGGGCCGCCCTCCGCCGCGCCCGCGTCGTGGCCAGGCCAGCGGGGCGCGCGCCTCGCCCTGGGCCACGAGCGCGCTGGGGGCCCAGCATCCCCGCTAAGCCGTGCCTTGAGTAGGGCCACCGAGGCCCCGGTATCCCCGCTCGCCCAGGCCTACCACGAGGCTGGGCCGCCACCCCATTCCGCAGAGGGGAAGACGGAGGCACCGGGAGCGCGCACCCCTCCTGGCCCAGGCCGGCTGTGGCGGCGCCAGGCCATTCCGCAAAGCGCCCCACAGGCCCGGCCAGCAGATGGGACCCTAGGGCTCACCCCGCGCCCCCGACCCCAGCCCCTGAGCCCGACAGCGCGCGGATGGCGTCCGATTCCCCAGCTCTCACCATGGCTACACAAGCCGCCGCCGCCGCCGCCGCCGCCGCCTGCTCCCAGGGAAAGAGGAAGGGGGCGGGGCCGACCTCCGCAACTACTGCCGGGTGGCGGCGGGCGCAGCCAATGGCGCCGCGGCGGGGGAGCTCCGGCTCCGCCCCTGCCACGCCCCACCCCCGCCGCCGGCAGCACCGTGGTACCGCCCTTCTGGCCCCGCCGCGAGGATACCGAGCCCGTAGCGCCCGCCTCTTCCTCCTGCACCTGAGATGACTTAGATCGGCCTCACGCCCTGAGCAGCGCACTTGGGGAAACCGAGGCCCGGGGTGAATGGCAGCTTTCCGGAGATGGCACAGTGAGGACTCGGATTCGTCCATTCAGTCATTTATTCGTTCATCCATTCATTCGTTCATTCCGTAAACCTTTGCAGGTCGCCCAGTCCGTGCTGCTCTGAGCTGGGCGCCGGTGTTCTGGGGGATCAAGGGGATGAAAGTTTTCAAAGATGAATTAACACTGCCCCTGCCTTGGAGCAATTTAAAGTCCGAGGTGGGCGGGGAGGGGCGGGGTCAGACAGCTATAATCCAACTCTTTAAACGTTCTGGTGGAGGCGGCAAGTGGCAGCGAAAGAGCATTCTTGGCCTTTTTTTAGTGAACCCGACCGGGTTTCAAAGTCTTGCTCTGTTGCCGGGTACTAGCTGAGACTCGGCAAAACCCCTCCTCTCTCGAGTCTCAGTTTTCTCACCTGTGAGATGGGGTATTGATGAGGATTACGGAGATAACATGTAAAACTCTTAGCACAAGACCTGAGGCATAACAATGCTCAAAATATCATCAGTTACAAGGTTCCCACTGGAATGAACGCTTGAGTTGTGCCCTGAGAGTTAAAGGGAAATTCATGAAGCAGGGAAGGTGCTCAGGCTTTCTTACTGGGCGGTTTCATTGTTGCCCCAACGGGCAAGCATGAATCCATGCTCTAGTGTCACTGCATTAGCAAAGACATGCCAACACCTTTTAGAGCTCTAGTTAAAGCCAGGTTGTCCCCTTCTTGGTGTCGGGTGTCACCTCCTCCAGGGAGCCTTCTCCCATCCCTAACATATGGGATTCTGTTAATGGACCTTAGTCTTGGACTAAATTGAGACACGACCTCCCTTTGTGTCCCAAGCTTTCTGTGCAACCCTCTCTTTAGCCCCAAACATACTGAATTAAAATGATGTTTATGTGTCTGTTTCCACAGCCAGCCTAGAAGTTCCCTGGGGGCAGAACTATGGCTGACATCTGATTTGGTTTTTCCTTTTTTTTTTTTTTTTTTGTGAGGAAGATCAGCCCTGAGCTAACATTCATGCCAATCCTCCCCTTTTTGCTGAGGAAGACTGGCCCTGGGCTAACATCCATGCCCATCTTCCTCCACTTTATATGGGACAGCACCACAGCATGGCCTGACAAGCAGTGCATCAGTGCGCACCTGGGATCCGAACCTGGGCTGCCAGCAGCAAAGCGCCGGCACCCAACCTCTATGCCACAGGGCCGGCCCTGATTTGGTTTTTCTAGTCTCTAGGCCCAGCACATGGAGGCTTCTTGGATGAATGAATTAATGAGACTTGCCCCAGACACAGTGAGGCAGGCTTCCAGGAAGTGGAGGGATATGGGAAAGAGAGGGCAGACAGAGGGTATTGACATGGATTATTAGTCTTAAATGGAAGTTGAATGGTGCACAGGGATTCTGCTGTCCTATCTTCCAAATGCTTATAATTCTATTAGAGCTAATGATCGTGTAAGTCTTTTCTGAACTTGAAGTCATCTGTGACTCCCCTGTTTCTCTTACAGGCCACATTCAATCCACCAGCACATTTGGCAGCCTCTACCTTCACAATATACCCGACCTCTTCCCACCACTCTTTGTTGTTTTTTATTGTATTTTATTTTTTGGTGAGGAAGATTGTCTCTGAGCTAACACCTGTGCCAGTCTTCCTCTATTTTTTGTATGTGGGATGGCGCGACAGCATGGCTTCATGAGCACTGTGTAGGTGCACGCCCAGGATTTGAACCCCGGGCTGCCGAAGTGGAGCGTGAAACTTAACCAGTATACCACTGGGCCGGCCCCTTCCCACCACTCTTATTGGCACCTGCCTGGCCTGAGCTAACAGGCCTGACACCATTGTGTCACCTCTTAAATCACCTATTTTGGCTCTGGTTCGCATACGTGTTCTCAGCACAGCTGCTAGCAGGACCCTTTTCAAACTTAAGTCAGATCATGTCACTGCTCTGCCCATAATTTCCAGGGCTGTCCCATTTGAGTTAAGACCACATCCTTTCCTCAGCCTACCAAGCCCTACAGTATTCCCTCCAGCCCCCACTTCTATCTCAACTCTTCTCACTCTTCTGCACCAGTATGGCCTTGCTTTTTCTGGAATACACCAAGCCTGCCCTGCTTCTGGGCCTTTGCTTGGCTCCCTCCTTCACTTCCTTCAGGTCCCTGATCAATGTCACCTCCTCAGGGACACCTCTCTTGACCACTTTAGCTAAGGTACACCCAGGCTCTGCATGGTTTTTTCCCCTCAGCATGCAGTCATCCTTGACATAGTATAGTTTGGATTTTTAGAATTCTGCCTCTGACTGGAATGGAAGTCCACGGTCATAAGCAGGGACATTATTTCATTCACCAGTTTATTTGGGGGCTATTTCTTTATTTGTAAAATGGGCTTTGCTGGTTTAAAGTTCCTTCTGGCCAGGATGTTCTCGGGATATGAATTTCTGCTGTCTTGTGGCCTGCCTGGGTCACAAAGATTTCTTCCAAGGTATGGAGCTGAAAGACAGGTGGGCCTTGTCTATTTTCAGGACCCCCTGAGACTTTAATTCAGCACCTATTTCCCCCTGTAGGAGTCTGTATCTTTAGCACCCAAGATTAGGTAGCATCATAGTCTGGCAATATTTTTGACCTGTAGACAGTTCAATGAGAAGTATTCGAAGCAATAAGAATGAATCACATTTCATTAACTACCGGCCTTTATTAAAAAGAGTACTATTATATGAAAACAAAGACTCAATTTAGTCGAAGGCTAAGGACCATTAACAGAACCCCTCAAGCAACAGCCCAGGCACCTAATGGTGGCAGTAGAGTCGCCTTTGACTCTGCCCTACCTCCCCCCACCTCCATCTTGCCCCATCTCAGACTCAGGGGATTCGGCTTCCTACCAGGATATGCCTCTCCAGCCTGGCCCGACGTCAGCCCCCAGGACCTCGCCCTTCCTGCCAGGATGGTGGCCAGAGTCATCTCCCTCTTCCCGCCGCCCACCCGCCCGGCCAAGGCGTCTGCTACACGCCGCACCCTCAAGTCCAAATGTCTTCATAGTCTTGTCAGCACCCTGGATACCCTTTAAACGTCTATAAAGTCTCCCAGTCCGTTAACAACAGGGTCTCTGTGTACAAGGCAGAGGCTGCCTCCTCGGAGCTCAGCGTAGTGGCGTTCAAGGCTCCCAAGATCCAGACCAGGCTCCCCCACCCCCGTCACTCCTCGGGGACTAAGAACTACTACTCATCCCTCAGGCCTCAGCTCGAAGGTTTCTTCTCCAAGAAGCCTGCCCGGCACTCGACACGTAGGGCCGGCCGCCTTCTCCTGGGCCCCCGGCCCCTCAGTCTGGGCAGTGAGGACCCCGGAGTCCGCGGCCGTGCCCGCGCCGGCCCTTCCAAGGGCTCCTTGGACGCAGGACGGAAACCGAAGAACGAGCGCAGTTACGGCGCCTACGATGCTGGCTTGGGCCCTCTCCTCGGATGGGAAGAGGGGAGTGCAGCAGGGGACCGTCGGGGAGACCATCAGGCTACTTTTCCAGCCCCTCCAGTCGCTCCGGGTGCGCCCCCACAGGCCCCGCCCCTCCGTCCCACCGACACTTCCGGTTCCGGCGTGGGCCGGAAGTGGGCGGCGCGGCGGCTGCGCGCGGAGGAGGAGGAGGAGGCGGTGCCGGCGGCCGCTTCCCGCCCCCGAGCCGGAGCCGGTGCTGAGCAGAGCAGAGCCGAGCCGAGCCGAGCCGAGCCGAGGTCGGGCCCGGAGCGGAGCCGGCTGAGCGGGCGCCGAGCCCCCGCCATGGCCCGGAACACGCTGTCGTCGCGCTTCCGTCGGGTGGACATCGACGAGTTCGACGAGAACAAATTCGTGGACGAGCACGAGGAGGCGGCGGCGGCGGCGGCGGCCGAGCCAGGCCCGGACCCGAGCGAGGTGGACGGGCTCCTGCGGCAATATCCTTCCCCGGCGCGGCGGCCTGGGCTCCCCTGTGGCCCGGCCTTCCCACTTCCCTCCTTCCCGGCTCCGGCCCCGCGGGCCGGCCTCCCCACTCCTCTTACCCCGGCCCGCTCAGCTCGGTCTCCCAGTTCCCTTCCCATCGGGCTCCCCTCTGGCCAGCTCCCCTCAGTCCGGGTGTCCCCTCTTCCCCCTGACCCGGCCTCCCCCTACCTCGTCCCTGGCCCCGGCCCCCAGAGCCTCCCTCAGCAGCGCAGCCCCATGCGGCCCCTAGACCCTGGTGACCGGCCCGCTCGGCGGCCCCGGGAGCGTGCCGGACGGTCTCGGCCCCGCACTCCTCCAGGCCTCTTCTCTGTTCTCTCCCTTGCTTCTTCATCCTCTCAGGCTGTCCCTTCTTTGGGGGCCCCGTCACTCCATCCCTCGCTTGCAGGAAATGGGGGCATTCTCGGGCTTGATCGGCGGGAGGGGCCGAGGTGAGCCACCGCTGAGTAATTGAGCGGCCGGGGCGGCTCCAGGGCAGCCCTCTCGCGCTGGATTGCAGCACCACACGAAGATGGGTGGGTGGATGGGGAAAGGACCCAAGGGGGAGCGCAACCTGCAGCCTTAGTCCAGCCCTGAGGTCTGAGCCTGTGCTCCTCCCACCCCAGAATCAAACTGACCCTCCAGCTTGATGCCACTCTTTGTCGCCCATTCTTGGGCTTTGGACCTTCATGGTCTCATCGACGTTCAACAAGTGAGTTTTGGCTCCCTTCCCCCTGGTACCTTTCTTGTGCAGGAAGCAGTGGAAAAAACTAGTAGTTTAGAGCTAAGAAAAACCAGAGTCAAGTAAAATGTAAAAGCAGAGCCCCACGCCTGCAAATGACCTTTCTTGTGG